ACCCCAGGAGATCAAACATCATAACACAGAGAAAATTAAAAATATGGTTAATATAAAATAGTATCTCAAGATACATGAACATTATGTGAAATTCTAATTTTAGTGTATATAAACTTTATATTCTTGGAACACAGCAACATTTATTTATTATTGTCTGTGCCTGCTTTTATTCTACGACAGTAGAGTTGACTTATGAGAGAAACCATGTGGCCTGCAAAACCTAAATTCTTCACTATTCGGCCTTACTAAAAAAAATTTGTCAACCTCTGCTCTGTAGTAAATGCCCTTAATCTGTATGAAATACTGCATAAAAATGAAAATGTAAAATTATAAACGTTTTAAAAATAAAAGGCTATATGTACTGAATCTTTGGGTGGGGAGACTTTAACATGCTACTATTATAAGGAAAAATAGATTCAATTATGGAAAATATTAAAACTTTCTATGGTAAAAAACAATAATAAAGGTACTTCCACTTCTAGGCAGATGGAGTAGATACAGTTTTCCCTACTCTCTCTGCTAAGGAAGAGCTCAGAATTCTATACATCTATACATCATTGTTTTCTGGCTTTCATAGTTTCTATTGAAAAGTCAGTTAAAAATCTTAGTCTTTAAAGGGAATATGTCTGTTTTCCTCTGACTACTTTTAAGATTTTCAGCTTTTTTCTTTTTTTTTAATACTTTTTATTTATTTATTTATTTATTTTTTTTTTTTTAAATATTTTATTTATTTATCTGACAGAGAGAGACACAGCGAGAGAGAACACAAGGAGGGGGAGTGGGAGAGGGAGAAGCAGGCTTCCCGCGGAGCAGGGAGCCCGATGTGGGGCTCGATCCCAGGACCCCGGGATCATGACCTGAGCCGAAGGCAGACGCTTAACGACTGAGCCACCCAGGCGCCCCTCAGCTTTTTTCTTTCTTAAAGAACATCTTTATTGAGATATAATTCACCCATTTAAAGTGTATGATACAGTGGCTTTTAGTATAGTCACTGATACGCGCAACCATTGCCACACTCAATTTTAGAACATTGTTAGCACTTCAAAAAGAAACCCTGTACCCTTTAGCTATTATTCCACTATTCACCATATCCTGTGCCCCAAGCAATCACTAGTCTACTTTCATTCTCTGTAGATTTGCCTATTCTATTTATATTTTCATTTAAATGGAATCATATAACATGTACTCTTTTATGATTGGCTTCTTTCCCTTAATGTAATATATTCAAGGTTCACCCATATGGCAGCATTTATCAGTGCTTCATTCTTTTTTATGGCTGAATAATATTCAATTGTATGTATGTACCATG